AACCGCATATGAAATATTTATGTCCTGGTGTGCCATGAGCATGCTGATCAACTAATTGAAACGAAGGGGGGAGGGGGATGTTCAGGCACTGGCTAGAACATCAAGAGCAGGGACAGGAGTTGAAATATGCATTGCCTGTGGTGTCTGTGCCTTTTTGCAGCTGTACTGTCCCGGGTTCGACTCCCACTGGGTTCGTTAAAGCGTCACTATGGAAAATAATGCAACGGTACTTTTGTGTAGGTCTTGTGTTTAGATGATTTGGTACGAAAATTACTTTGCAGCGTTGGTTCTGTTAATCATTAGTACATCCAAGTGGATGGTCCCTAATCCACATCTCACCAAGGGTGCTCGAGAAACATTACATGTTGGCACAGATTCTCAAGGTAGAAAACTCAAGTGACAAGTAAGCATTGTTAAAATCTTGAAAGGTTTTAACTTTGTTCTATTTTCTGCTGAAAACTTTCAGAAAAGTGTAAGTTTTATGCACAAGTGTTTAATGGCATGGTATAATGGTTATGTTTTTATTCACTCGTCCACAGCTGATATTCTTTGTGACTGCATTCAGACATTTTGTATATTTTGTGTAACTTTTTTGGGGGGGGGGGGGGTTGGGATGGGGATGGGGTGTTTACCCTGTACGATGATGTTCGCTGATTGTCCATGCATTGATAATGGCAGTACACATGACATGTGCCCAACTGCAAAGGGTTTTTGGAGCCATGAAATATGCATTGCATCAAAGGACTCCTCGCATAATTGACTAATTTTTCTTGGGGGGTAATGCATGGCTAATGTTGCATGGGAACTTCAGTCTGAAATAGGAGTCCATTTTAACAGAGGAAATGGTCATGAATGCCGGTGATTGAGATCAATAAAACCATCCCATCGAAATGGCAGATGGGGTTTTGACTTAAAGGGACACTGGGTCCTGGAACAGCCCACTTGGGCTACAAAACGCGCTTTGAACGAGATTATGTTAATCGGAAAGAACATTTAAAACTAGGATATAAACATCCACACAACTATTCTTTAAAAACTGGGCGTTTTTATGTTATTCCTGTATTATGCATGCGAGAACGAATTTCGGGGTCCACTTTTGCGACCCCATAAATTCTAGCTGTTTGGATGCTAGTTGTGATTTCATTCGTAAAATGTTCGCCTTTTGCGGACGTTGAAGAAACCATTTTTTTTGGCATTGGTGATTGGTCACCGCTGTTCCCGAGACACACAACGTGTATATCGTGCACAGTGAGAACGATGCGAAAAAGGTATTCGTACTCCGTCGTGTCCGAAGTAAACAACCGGGGATTTTTCCTCTTTTTTCGGGAATGGTAAGACATTAGGTTGGTTTCCTTTCAACCAGATGTTTTAAATAGGCTAAGTAAGCAATCACAAACATGAAATTTTCGGGGATTTCAGGACCTTCAAAGGGACCATGTGATGAATTTTACTTGGGAGCATATTTTATGCAAAATTCTGAAATTTATTTGACATCCCTTTTTTGTTAAATTTGATTGAAAAGTACCCTTCTTTAATCGTTTACAATTTTCCAAGCTTTCCTGACAATTGAGGGCGCTGTTGCTGTGATGTCATTTCAGGAAGACACTGTTCAGTTTAGCGTTTTTTGGTGCAACTTGTGACCCAAAAGTTGTTCACTTTTTGTTTCACTCTTTATTCCCTATAAACATTTTTTATTGGGACAATGTATCCTGGAAAGCGTACAATTGGGCTACAAAACGCATTTTAAACAAAATTATATTAATTGGAAAAGTAGAATATAAATGTCAACGCAACCAACCATCCTATAAAAATGTGCTGTTTTGGTGTTATTCTTGCAAGAGAAAATTGCGGGGTCAAAATTTTGACTCTCAAACGTCGAGCTGTTTGGGTGCTACAATGTAGTCGTGAATCCTGCCGCACATGTTCCACTTCACAATCGCATGCTGCAGGATCCGCTCCAAGGTGGCTATTGTCAACGGATCTTTGTTTCAGTTCAATCAACTATAATGCTAACATTTTACATAGTTATTAATTATCTCATTTGAAGAAAACTTCTTTTCTGCTGCAAGAACTTCCTGAATTTAATAAAAGTTTTCGAATACCGGTACTATTAAGACAGTACATGAATTCTATCATTCAAAGGAAAATTCTTAACTGCTACTACAATCCCCAGGTTTTAATATTATTGATTTCCCAATGATGAAGCCTTAATACTAGAATGAACATGTACGGTACATTATTATCCATACCAGTTTACTACTTAGAGGTCTTATAGCCAGACACCGAATGAGAATCCTTGGACAGGAGTATATGCAGATCAATAGGCTGGGTCCCTAGATTATCGCAACCACTGCCTACTCGCAATATTCAGACACTGTCACGTACATCCGTTTATTGCATGTCTAAAATCCAATAACCATGACGATGCAGTGTCCTTGCATACATACATGACCGTCAACACTCATGTAGTCAGTCGGTGTAGCATCCTGCTACAAGTATTGGGATGCGTTCCTGACCGCATCATGGAGGATACTAGGCAGACAGGGAGCAATGGCATCTCCCCCACCTTTGAAGAGGAAGAAGATGAGATTGGTAAGTCTCGGTTGCTGGGGGAGATGCGTTGCCGGGGAGGATGCTTCACGTCAGAGACAGACTGTCATTTTGCTTTTTACTTTTAGTGTCCCTCATTTCAAGTGATCTATTGTGAGATAACAATTGTCATGTTCACATTTGTGTAAAGGTGTGATCTATAAATCTGCTGTAGACATACATGGACTTCAGTGCAAACAATTAGTTTGATAAAAAATGAATTCATAATCATATATGTGTTGTCAAGCATCTACATGTATCAGCTCCTCTTAAAAGTAGTCTCTGGTCAAGACATTATTGTTGTAGATACGCGATAAACCAACGCCGCAATGAACCGCAATCACCCACGAACCACCTGAAACAACGTCTTGGGAATCTTGTATGTTGTGTAATGCGTGCGCATGTTTGGTCTAATGCAGTGCGCGTTCAAAACCTTTTGTAGTACTTCCGAACTAAACTCTTAAATTTCTTCCAGTAGCATACAAGATGCAGCAAGACTTTGGTACAACATCACTGGGCAGCTGGTATTTAGTATTCTTTGGAATGAAAATTCACCGTGATTGCCTGCAGAAGTAGCGCTTGCGCACTAGTTTCCGCCATTTTGCGGGAGAGATTTCACAAGATTTCCTAGACGTTGTTGCTGAATGGAAGCTACACAGTCATAACATTTTTGACCTGGGAAGAATACTCATGTTCCAGTTCAAATTGTATCTTTGTACAGCATACCAGTACATGTGCATGTGTCAATACCTTCTGGTTTATAATAATAGAGGTTTCTCATCCGAAAGGATACGTGTACACAAACATTTAGCTATCTGTTAACCTGTATCGACCGTTCCATTGTTTCGCATCATGTAACGGTATGCATACGCATACGCTAAAATATCGGAACCAAAGCAGTAATCCAAAATGGCAGCCTCTGATGAAAGCCTCGTATCTGCAGCTAATCCTGCTTTGAAACACAGACAAATGAGGATATGTTCAGCAATTCATCCCCTTAAATCAAATCATACATGATTAAATCATTATCAGAAAATGGGATGAAAATCCACAATTTACTGTGTTTCAAGCTGCGTAGCGCGCGACATATCCATGCTGTGTGCATGAATAGCGAGTAGCATATGACGTCACAAGACCACACAAACTGCTGACCTATGCGACACGCTAATCATATCCCTTCACTTACGAAACCTCTCTATTTGTGGATAAACAACAAATCCTTTTGAATTTATTCTCAAATGTATTGATGCGTCACATACATGTATTCCATCTATCGTCATCCAGCTAGTTGGCATAATGATGACCAAATGTTAATCCTCACCGTCAAGAGCTGAGCTTCATAGATTTTGCCTCTGGAAAAAGAGTCTGGTCTGCCACCTGATTAACAGTTTAAAAAAAATCGTCCAGCTCTTGTTTCATCAAACGATGCTTAATTAACAATGACATGGAGTGCTTTTTCACATGAGAGTTCCAAGCAATTGAACGCCTATATTTGCAATTAATTTTGAAACCCGAGTCTCACAGGATTAGCGGGGGTGGATAAGCCTCCTCTTGTGCCTCCCCCTCCTCCTTGTGCCTCCCTCCCGTGTGTCCCTACCCCCCCCCCCCCCACCCCCTCTTAAAAATTGTTGTTGAAGATTTGCGCATTGCATACATGTACCAGAAGGTAACAGAAACAGGATTGAGGCAACCCTCTGTGGGATACTACTGGTAGTATTCGTAGAAAATTAAATGCAGGGTATACTTTCTATATTGACTGCTTCGAGTGATATAGTAAAACTATTGCCTCCCTCAGTGATCCGTGGAGCATTCTATTTTTCCTTGAGGTGAAGCCGAGAGAAAATAGAGTGCTCCATGAATCACTGAGGGAAGCTACGGTAGTTTTATTATACCTGTGCCACGAGTTGAAGCAGTCAATATTTGTATATTTGTATATTAATATATTTATTAATTTGTATATATTAATAATATTTGTATATTAATATATAAAAAAATGCTGTTCTTGTCAGTAGTCTGGTTCCCTGACCCTAGAATTGTCAGGTCAGGGAACCAGACTAGCTTGCTTGTACCCATTTACAGATGTGTAACCGATGGCGAACGAAATGTGGACCTAACTAAATTTGGTAAATTGGGGGCAGTATTTGAAAAAAAAGTCAGTTTTTTTCCAACGATGGTTGGCCAACCATCGTTGGAAATTGATACAAAAATTCCACTTTTCTTGAAAATGATAGCACACCAGGTGCCATGATGTCACAGAATGCTTGAGACTACATGTAGATGTATTATTCACTAACAGTCAAGTAATTTGTGTGGGTTGTTTTTTTTTATGTTTGCAAATGTTGTATATTTCTATTATGACGAATGCAGCTCATACTGTTTCTCTTTCTCTTTCCTTGTTTTTGTGTGTGCAGATGACGGGCTTGGAATCTGTGTGTATCTGCTGATGTTCTTTTCCTATCTTCTTGTTTTATTCACAATTCCAGTGTCGCTGTTCTTCTGTTTGAAGGTAAGAAAAAAATTTTAAAATACAGGGTGACCCCAAAAAAATTGCAACCCTACAACATTTGCCTTTTGAAGAAAAAAAAAGGATCGGTGGTTTTTTATGTTTTGGATATCAGATTAAAGCTGAGAGCTTTTTCTTTCAAATACTGAACAAATCATGAAAATAGCACTTTGGGTTCTGAGAAAAGGCCAATTATGTAAAAGTTTTTCATCCTGTACACAAGTATTTCAAACAGTGAAACATTTTACTGTAAGCCTACTGTGCAGTTATCCTTCATTTGTGCAATTTCTTTAGTATTTTGACATCGTAGAATAAGACTAAAAAGGATGAGATATATGTTCAGGTGGAAAATAAAAGGTATTTCCATCTAATTCATTTGTACTCTTGTCATATGTGCCAGGTTGTTTGTAAGGATTTAGGACATATGCACAAATAGGTACAGTGAACATCCCTTACTGTGGTAATATTTTGTGTACAGGATGAAAAAAATGACCACTTTTACATAATTGGCATTTTCTCAGCAACCCAAAGTGCTATTTTCATGATTTTTTTTCAGTATTTGAAAGAAAAGCTTTCAGCTTGAAGGCCAAAAAAAACAATAGTTCTGCTGCCGATTACATGGCATTCAAAAATAGGGTAGGTAGGTAGAGAATTTTTTTTTTTTTGGCCAATTTTTTTTGTGTTCAATCATATGGAGGTGTCTGCGTGTAGTCAAGGGCAAAAGGTAAAAATTGATGGTTTTGGGTAATTTTTCCTCATTTTTCCAATAAAAAAATTAGGGCAGGGGCTGTCAGAATAGGGTAGGTAGGGAAACCGGAAGCAAAACTATTTTTTTTTTGGCCTAATCTGATACCAAAAACATAAAATCCACCGATCCCTTTTTTTTTTTTTTAAAGCAAATGTTACTTTTAGGGTTGCATTTTTTTGGTCGCCCTGTACTGTAGATGCACTGAGAATGTCATGAACTCATGATCATGATGACCATTCCAGAAATGCGCTTGTATTGTACTTTCTAAACAAACAGTGGCATCCTTTGGTACACTTTTATCTTTCTTTCTGTCTGTTTCCCTCTGTGACATTGTAGAGAAATTTGTCTTAAAATACACTGCACTTTAATTTCATTTTTTTGTGGAGGGGGCATGTACTGGTAGATAATCTATATCCAAAAGATATACTTCTTCATCAGTACACGTGTACATGGTATTCACAAACTTTGATTTGCAACAAAACAAGAATACATTGCTGTAAAAAAAAATGTGCACTGTGGTTGTACTTTCAGTTTGTTATCGTATACAGTACAGATAAACATGGGTTTTATGTTCCATCACGTGACGTCACAGACATGTACTCTGGCTCTAGTTCAATTATTGATCCGAGCTTTCACAATTGCTGTGGGTGTGATACGATGAAAGTACATTTGATATGAAAAATGCCGTCTTTCTTGTTCCCTTGACCCCCTCAGGAGGTTAATGGTTCTAAATCCCAAACCCGGCGCAGCATTCCGGGATGAATACTAAAACAACAATATCGCGCGGACACAAACTTAACATTTTTGTACATTCCGTCAGCCGCGATGAGTTCGGCCAGACCCCGGCTGTGTTTGAACGCAACCAATTTCACGCCTCGATAGCTCAGCGCCGGGTTATTGGATTGTGAGCGTCGTCGCAGAAAGCGCTTTCCCCCCCCCCCCCCCCCCCCTACGGAATTGAGATGTGGTCAAATCACTGTGGGATTGTGGGAAGGGTAATGAATCGAAATGAGCTGGTCGGCTGGGGAGACGACATCTTTTTAGATTCAATGAACGGTGCACGGTTTGAAATCACTCTGAACAGATTGTAAACAGTGTGAATGGGGAACAAATTTCACAGTCTAACTTGAAATACGCGTTCAGTACAAAACACCCCCCCCCCCCCCCCCCCCAAAAAAATTGACACTTTTATTCCTGTTAACGTTTTTATTTATTTTCTGTATAAGTACATGTACATGCTAACTCATAATACATGTTAAAGGGAATATACAACATTTGCAAACATCGAAAAATAAAACTACCAAGTTTTTGCGAAATACCTTAACAGGATGTTGGTAAATGACAGTCTAAAGCATCCTGTAAAATTATGGCACCTGGTATACTGTCATTTTCAAGAAAAGTGGTATTTTTGTATCAATTTCCAACGCTGATCGGCCGATCAGCGTTGGAAACAACTGGCTTTTTTTCAAATACTGGCCCCAATTAACCATTGCACTTGTTTGCAATCGATTACAAACCTATGAGCGGGTACGAGCCAGCTAGACTGGTTCCCTGACCTTACAATTCCCCAATGTATGTAAACTGCTCTGTTTCTTCTTATATGGAGTCAGGGAACCAGACTACAGGAAAATGGTCGTTTTTCTTGGTTTTTATAGCATTTTCGAACCCAAAACCTCCAAAAAGTCAGTGTAACTATATTTGCTTTATATTTCCAACCCCCCAATTCCATCCATTTCTGAAAATTACAGCAAAAGCAAATGATGTATATTCCCTTTAACACATTCATTTCTAATGATTTAATTGTAAAATGTTACATGTACATGTAGATAGAGAAATAGTCCCATTCAAAAAATTTGACTTTTTTTCCCCTGAAGCATCCACATCTACTGTACATTATTTTGTGCTTGAGCACATGTCAACATTCATGACTGATGAATATTATTATTATTAATTATTTCTGGTAATGAAATCAAGGATTCCTTAAAAGCACCCCAGGCACTGTAGCTCACAAGCCAGAAGAAACCTGCAGAGAGAAGACAATGAGAAGAAATTACAGTTGTATTTGTGGGAGGAAAACCCCCGAAGAATATTCTTAGCAATTTCAGGGACTGAAAACCCAATCCACATATTGGCCCAGGCGGGATTCGAACCCAGGTCACAGCGATGGAAGGCGAGGAAAGTACCGCTACTTCAAACCTGACTCCCCAGGCTGTAAAATGTTTGATACAGAAATAGTCTTGTCTGCACGCAATCATTATGTCTCAACTTGTAATCTGTTCGGCAGTGATAGAGACCTGTATAAACTGTGATTAGCACATGAACATTCTGCGAGGCTGAAATGTTTTCAAATTTTTTCCAGATTTGTGAATTTATAAATAAGCCAAAAAAAAAAGAAATAATGAGAAGTTTCGTTTGTAACTGCCTTTTTTTTCTTTTTGGGTTGAAGTTTTTATGAAACAATTACAATGGGCATTTTTTTAAAGGAATGCATTTAAAGGCAAGATACATAAATGAGCATGTACCGTAGACAGAAAGTGTCGTTCTGAAGCTCCGACAAATAATTTTTGTTTTGTTTTGTTTTTTTGCCCCAATCCCACTCCTGATTCTATTCATAACGAATTCTCCCGTACTCGGCAGCTGCACAATCATAGCCCAAGGTCCCAAGCGTTCACGTTGTTTAATCTCGTTTTAATTTGTACAAAATTGTCTCAGTGAAAATTGAAGACATTGAGTCAGGATCATCAGACATGTTTGTCTCCCACCAACGTCATTATCTTGACATCTGTCCCCTCGCTAAGTGGCGACTATTGTCCCTTGCCGTTGGGCCATGACTGACGTCAGACATGTACACCTGTTATTTTCTGTCTCCTTTGGAACATCGGCATGAGAGGAATTTTGACACAGCTTCATTCATTCATCTCTCTGGCTGTAATCCATGTTTTCATCCCCTAATGGTACAGACTCTGTCGTGCTGGCGCTGCACTGTGTACATTTTTTTTTTCCCAGAAACTTGCCCTAAGCAATTTTTTGAAAGGGGGGAGCTGTCTCTCAAAACATTGTTCAGCTTTCCTTTATAATTGTTTTGTCATTTTGATTGTGCTCCTTCACCTTCTTTATGTGTTGAAAAATCGAAAAAATAAAACTATAAAAGCTGAATTTTATTTTTGTTATGGTTGCTGGCGTTCACAGTAGTTTCTCCATAATTTCTGACTGGCGTAAGTTATTTACTTTTTGAGTTGGCTACAAATTTTTATGAGTTTGAGGTGTTAAAATTTGAGTTTAAAGCGTTAGAATTTGCCTGTTTGACTAGTATTCAAAATAAGTAGTAATTCCTGAGTTGTCCAAGAAATTGTGCAAAAAAAAACACAAAAATAAACACTGGCTTGCTTGGGTTGGAATCGAACCTTTGAACCCCTGTTTGCAAGTTCAGGGGTCTGCATAGAAATGCAAACTTTCATGTTGATCTATAAAGAGTTGAAATCTGATGTGGTATCATGCGTTGATATCTGATGAGGTGTTGTACGACCAGAAATTGTTGGAATGAAAAGAAGATGTATTTTTATTTAACTCTGTTTCTTCAGGTTGTGGCCGAGTATGAGCGAGCCGTCATATTCCGCATGGGTCGTCTGTTGCCGGGTGGTGCTAAGGGACCCGGTATATTCTTCATCCTTCCCTGTATTGATAACTACGTCAAAGTGGACCTGAGAACAATATCATTTGATGTTCCCCCACAAGAGGTAAATATACAAATATTAACTGTTGTTTTCTATCTCATGGGCAATAGATGGGCAGCGAGGCAATATTTAGCATGAATTGTTAATTGTCCTATGAGTGGACCTGAAATATTCCTCCTCACATCTGTTGATAAATATGTCAAATAAACTGGACAAAATTCTTTGACATTGGCGGTAAATATACATATATTGACCGGCAATATTGACCAGCAATATTATGGACAATAGAACAGGCGTGTGGTAAATTTATAACTGTTGAGAGAACCAAAGGAAAATTATACACTTTCCGATTCTATCGGTACTTTCACATAATATATATTAATTCGAGTTAAAGTTAAAACCATTGGTGACCACATGATTCTCACTTTGACCAATCAGAATCTTTGTTCTGTATTTCTGATTGGCTAGACTAAATGCAATCTGTTTCCGCTTATAGATTCTGTCCAAAGACAGTGTAACGGTCGCTGTGGATGCGGTGGTCTACTACAGAGTTCACAATCCGACGATCTCCATCACCAACGTGGAAGACGCGCAACGATCCACCCGGCTCCTGGCCGCGACAACGCTACGCAACGTCCTGGGGACAAAGACACTTGGAGAGATGCTGATCGATCGTGACATCATCAGTAGTCAGATGCAGTCGGTTCTGGACGAAGCGACAGATCCTTGGGGAGTCAAGGTGGAGAGAGTGGAGATGTGAGTCTTTGAGTCTTACGAGAGAAGGGCCAGTTTCTTAAAACATGAACATTTGCTTAGCACAAAAATATTTGCTTGGCGAAAACCGGTTACCAGCCAAAAGTGTCATGCATCGTTTTCTGAATAGGATGGTTACCGCTCAATAGTCCAAAGGTTTGATAGTGCGAAGGTTCTATAGTCCGAAGGTTCATTAGTCTGAAGGTTTGATAGTCCGAAGGTTTGCTTAATAATCTGAAGGATCGTCAATTATGCTCGGATTAACAAACCTTATTTCATTTTTGAACTAATGAAACCCCGATTATGTATTGGAAATTTGTGTGTTCAGACTATTAAACCTTCGGACTATTGAGCCTTCGGACCATCAAGTGGACCCCAGTTGGATTAGGTCTCAAGTGATGTTTGCAAAATAAAACTATTCTTCTAAGGAATATTTTCTCTCAAGCAGATTTTTAAAAAAGTTGGTCCAGGCACCAACATTTGGGAGCTACGAAGCTCCGAAATGTGCAACGTGCTGGCAAAAACAAAGTACCAGCCAACATTTTAGCTTGGCTAGTTCTAAGCTGGTTTTCCCTAAGCATATTAATTTGCTGAGCAATATTTTCTGCTCAGATGTGAGGGGGAAGGTATTATAATGTACAAATATTGACTGCTTCTAGTGGTGTAGTAAAACTAGCCTCCCTCGGTGATCCACGAAGCATTCTATTTTACCCAAGGCGAAGCCGAGGGAAAATAGAATGCTTCGTGGATCACCGAGGGAGGCTAGTTTTACTACACCACAAGATAAAGTAGTCAATATTTGTTCATAACACTTCTCCTGCAGATTCTGCTTGGTTTTATGCGATAACTGATTTTTTTTACAATTAAAAAATGTAGGCCTACTTCTGTTTGAATACGAAATTGGATAAAAATTTACTTGCACTTTTCTAAACTACCCCAATGTTTGAACCCAGGTCTGTAGCGCTAGTGTTTGGGGAACAATACGCCCAACGCACGCGCACACTCGTATGCATTTGTGCACAATATTGGTTGTTATGTGTATAGTACTTTGGTATAGTACTTTAGTACTCAAGATGCAGAATCTGTGGTTGAGGCGTTGTAAAACAAGATATTGGACTTATCTTACTTAAATGCTCTCAATTTGTTTTCCTGCTTACAGTAAGGACGTACGCTTGCCGGTTCAGCTGCAGAGAGCTATGGCAGCAGAGGCAGAGGCTGCTAGGGAGGCCAGAGCAAAGGTGGGATTCCAATTTATGAACGTTGTCTTTGCGACAGTTTGTAATATTTTTATCCCAAATCACAAAATTATTTGTTGTCTCTTCGAGACACCGGACGGCAGTTGATTATGTTACGTGGTGCTGAGATTGATCATATTCAGAATGTCTTCCTTTTTCTTTTGAATTCAGAACAAATAGTTCAACAAGAATAGGTTTTTTTATAAGAGCCGGTTCGCAGAGATGAGTAGAGAGCAAACTTTCCCAAAGATGTAATTGAGTAAAAAAAAACACCTTCTTGTGTTTCCCTCCATTCTATGATATAGCCTGTTTTAAGAGGAACATTAATTCCTACCTTCAGCTTTCCTGATTTATTTTTTTTGGGGGGGAGGGGTGTCATATTTTTCTTCTTTTTAGCCCTTTGCCAAGAGTTGCTTTTATAGCCTTGCTTGGGGCAATTTTGCATTTAAAAAAAAAGAAGAAAAAAAAGGCCTCTTTGGAGGACTTCCTACATAAAACTGTAAAAACATAAGCACGTTTTATCTAGTTAGATTGGGGCTGATAATATAGTGGAGATGTTTGCAATGAAATGGCACACATAAAAAAACACCAAATAGGTTCTTGACACTGTTGTTGTAGAGTCTGTCATAAGTCCATCACAAGTCCAGTCACGAGTCCAGTCGTGAGTAACAGGTGATGAACAATAACAAAGGAATGCCTTTGTCACAGCTTGTGAACAGTCATTTGAACAGCTTGTGACTTGACTTGGGACTTAACAGCTTGCGATGGTCTTGTGAAGACTTGCCACAACACATCAACATCCCCAGCGTTTGATAAAAGCTGTAAGATTTTTTTCATAGTACAACTTACAATTTCTCCTTTTCCGACTATGCTAGGTTGTGGCTGCGGAGGGTGAGCAGAATGCATCCCGGGCCCTCAAGGAAGCGGCCGACGTCTTGGCCGAATCCCCGTCAGCCCTCCAACTCCGGTACCTCCAAACCCTGAACACCATCTCCGCCGAGAAAAACTCCACCATCATCTTCCCTCTCCCAATCGACCTCCTGACCGGATTCCTGGGAGGCGGCCGTCGTAAGTCTGCATCCTCCTCTCTGGGGTCACAACAGGGGTCGCGACCCGGGTCAAGACGGAAGAAGCGAGAGCTGGAAATCGATGAGGATTTGGACGGCGAACCGACGACAGTTTAGAAAGTTTTTGAAAGACGAGACAATTTCTTGAAGGTGGCTGGATGCAACAGATGACTTTTTTTCCCCTGTTACGGTGACTGAAGTGTTTCCTTATGAATGACTTTACTGTTACAGTATCATGGATACCGCCATCTTTGCAAATATTTTAGAACGAAATAAACTTAAGACCCAGGCTTAAGGGAAGGGTTAATTAGACACACCAGTTGCATTTGTGAAGGGTCGTACGGAAACTCTGCTCAATTAAATATCACAAGTTATCCAACTTGTGGTGTATATATACCGGTACATGTAGGCTCCGTGCACAAGAACCCCCTCAACGGTTACAAAGGGAGAGTTGGGGGAGACCACTGGAAGGAACATTCGAACGCATCTCCGATGATGCCTGACGCTCACGCAAAGGCATCACTGGTTTTGTGCACATGCAGAATAAACATGCCGTCAGTGTGTCCCTCCCACTGGGGCTCTCGAAAGTGGTCACAAAGCGCCCTCTACAGTTTGTGCACGGTGTCTATTGTCTAAAAACCATGTTGCGCTAGTATCAGTGTGGTGCTTATATAGCGCCTTATACCTAAGGTTTCAAAGCACTTTACAATTATTATCCATGTTCATCAGGAAAGAGACCGTTTTTCTGCAGCAACTCGAGATCGGCTCAATTTGGTCTTTATACCTTCACAGGTACCCATTTATACTCCTGGGTGGAGGGAGGCAATTGTGGTAAAGTGTCTTGCCCAAGAACATAAGCACCATTCCCCCGACAGAGTTCGAACCCAGGTACCACGGCACATGAATCAAACACCATAACCATTGGTCCACACACTCCACATACCAGTTAGTGTGTGGAAAGACCGTTCACGTACATTGGTGTATATTCTATTAGCAGTCTGAACTTTTCACTTTAATAAATTTATAGAATCATTCAATTATTATCTAAATGGGTTGGTGTAGGTCTGAATTTACCGATTGTTACTGCATTTCAGAAAACCGTATTATCTTGCAAAGATGGTTACACGAATATGGGTCATTCTATAAATTTAGGGTCCAAAGTGTGACCTTTTTCCTGTCCCTGTTACCTTAGTACTCTGTAATTTGCCAGTCGAGTATCATTAAGAATGACTTCAAACAATTGTTTATTTGTTGATTAGGTAGTTTGCTATTTAAAATCACTCTTAAAGGACAAGTGCATAAAGGGTGCATCAGAATAATAAAAACATAGATGTCAGATGTAACAGGGACAGAAAAATAAGTGTTCCCCAAATGTGTTAAATGACCCATATCCATGAATGACGTAAATTATGTGCCGACAGATTGACGTTTCTTAATATTGCTGTTTCATGGAACAGTATGAAATTGCCTGTGAACGGAGTCCAATTTTCAGTAATGGTACGCTTTGTTGGGGGATTGTAGTTAAAGGGACTGTTACTTACAATTCGGATCATGAATATTCATTAGTATTCAATTTAAGATTCAGGAGTTTCTATGTCATTGGCCTTAAAAAAAGTCATTGTTTGGTTCTAAACTTGCGATAATTACTAGAAGTCGCAATTTATCATGAACTGATAACTTGTTAACTTTTCAGCTGAACTTAAGAATCACTGTAAAAACAAAAAGTCAAATTGGTGCATTTGTGATTGTTATTTAATTGAATTCAATTCCTTTAAATAATTAATGCTTTAAGTAGCAAGTTCTTAAATGATGAATGTAAATAAGGTCCTAGAGTACCAAGTATTTCATTTGCTGAACATGAGATTCAAAGTTTTAGAAAAGTAAACCACGAAGTATTCAGAATATAGACCGGTAATTCTTAGCTTTTAAAGCTATTTCAGAAGTTTGTTTTTGTTTCTTAGGTGTTGACTATAGTCATGTCAGAGAATAATAAGTTTTTGTTGATCTTACACGTATTATTTATTGTTTTGTTTGCGTGGTGAATATACCATAACAAGGCAAAAGTGCCATTGATCTGAAACCTATATTTATCAATGGAAGGGATAAATATATTTGAAAATGAAGACTGCCATTTTGGTAACATTAGTTATGTCTCCATTTTGTCAACATTTTAAATGATTTAAAAAAGAATTGAAAATATGGAATCATGAAATTAAAAAAAAATTGCTGTTGGGCCAAAGTGAAATTATGATGCCTAAAAAGTTCAATAATTACATTTAGGTTTAGCATATTTATAATACTCTAAAAAAAAAAAATTGTACGTTATGACTCTTATTATTACTGGACGTGCATATTTTATCGCAACAGTTACTGTTTTATACATTGTATACATTGTACAACTATCCAGTCAGTGTGTATAGCTCATAGTCTTGCTATAGTACTATCCGATATATCTGAAATATAGTTCTGATATAGTCTGTTTTTTTATGCCGTTTTATTATTTTTTTAGGATGGATGTTACACGTTCATTCACTACCATTTGGGAGATTTGTTATTTGTTAAGACATGAAAGGCTAAATCAAAGTTTTGGAAATTTACATGTGAAATAAAATATACAAAAAAGACATACCCTCAAATGCCATGTTTGTGGCCCCTTTTCAGGAAAAGAAACAACAAAGATCATATTTTGTGTAACTCTTTTTATTATTTCAAGTAAAGCTGTTTACAATATGTTTAACGTCTGAATATTCTGCTACCAAAAACTAAATTCTATGAGAAAATGTTGTGAAAAATACAGCCACAGAGAGGTACTCTTTTGATAAAACAATGTTTTGTCAATGAATGTCCAAAGTGACTGGAAAAAGATCCGAAGAACTGACTTTGTTATGTGTAATCCTGCCAACGTAAAGTATTTAAGTATATAACTAATAATAGGGAGCCTGTGTAATATAATTATGTGTATATACTTCCATGTTTTATGTAAGCATGTTAATATAAGCAATGTTAATTCATACATATCTTTTGATCCACCTTAAATGCATGTTGGAAAGTAACACCAACGATGAAAAACACATTTTTAACCGACTTTTGTTTACAGATTCTGCCATAGTTAAAATGAGTGTGAGTGCTTAAAGCAATATGAACTTGCAAATGTAGGTTTTAAATTATTTTTTACTTTTTGCAGTTTTTTTTTGGTTTAAGATAAATTTTAGATTTATATAGATTTCACCCACCATTACAAAACAAAATGATTAATGGAATGCGACATGGTTCGACTCAAGTGAAGTTTCCGACTCGTGAAATTACTCTACATTTGGAAACTGCTTCAAATAAGCCTCTCGGCTTTCTCCTTGTCGAAAGGTTTTCTGAATTTCTTGTCCTCTTTAATGGTTACAGAGAACTTGTTACTGCTAAAATCAATCTTTTATTTGGTGATTAGGTCAGGAAATTCATTTTCTACCTGATTTCTACCATACTCGTAAAACAGTGGATGTTGCTTGGACACAAGAATATATAGTAGCTTTAAATAAAGCCAATATCTATCATAGTATAATAGTTATTTTCTCTTAGTGCAATATTCGCTATAGTAAGAGAGCTTTTTCTCTATTTATTACTTCTCTGTTTATTTATATAATTATTTGTTTTACATGCCCACAACCAGGAGTAAATACAAGGTGGTATATGTCTTATAGAAATTTTGAATATTTAAAAATTGTTAATCTACTTCAAACTGACAAGCCTATTTGTAATGTTGTGTCAACTATTAGTGTAATACTCTTTTATTTGTACTTTAAATTGTTAATGTTTATTTATTTATAATTGAACATTTTTCTGAAATAGGAATAATTAACTCCTCAATAAAGAGGACAACAAATAAAAATACACTGAAAGATAAAATGTTGATCTTTGCAACAGAATGTTTTAAGGCAGTTTTGTTCAACGTAAAAACCCTCCAATAAAATGTACATTGTGCTCTTGTGTTAACATTTTTAAAGAAAAATTACTTAAATGCCTTGTTCTCATGCCAGGATACTGTTGATTTCTGTGCATTCATTTCAAAATTTACAAATTGCTGGCCTGTTTACAATTTACAAGAGTTACATTGTAAATATGCTTTATATTGTATTTGTGTGTAGGAATTCAAATCTTAAGTTGACAAAGTGGCTTCAGGTTACAACACGAGTGAATATGTTTTAGTTGAACATGTTTGGTTAATTTATTAAATACATGTATCAACCAAATTCTATTAATTTTGTGGAAACAAATTATTGATGAGTCTTAGAAATTGTCAAAGTTGCTTTTTTATATTAAACCCCCCACTAATTTGCAGCAAAACTGTCAGCAACTAGTCTATGGAATAACACCTTGTACAGCAAGGGCTCTGCACATTATGAATGCCTCATACTCAGGCTAAACTGTCAGCATGCAACAGGCAACTTTGGAAAAAAATCCTGATTTAATAAAATAGTTTTTATATTTGAAATGTATTTACAAAAACCTCCACAACTACCAACCCCATACGAAGAATTATGCAGTTGTCCAATAAACACTGAACACCAAAACACATTAAAAATTGACCATGGGGGAGGGGCTACAACTTAATGTATAATTAATGAAGAGGCGGGGTCTCAAGAGCAGCAGTGATCTTTGATTGGCCCAAAGTTTCAGAATTTGAATATACATTTACATCAACCTCGTCCCCAGGGTGTCGAGCAGTACGCGCCCACCACTACCTGCTCTCTCACCCTGCATGGTATTGGATCATTTGCATGTGCAAGATTTTTGAACACAATAGCAAATGAGAACTAGAAATGTGTTTGTGGACAAACACTGAGCTGTTTCGACCATTTGTCAAAGTTAGCCGGAAATCGGCTAAAACGGTCACTGTCGACAGGATTTGACCTCAGCAACACGTGCGCTGCGCGCGGGCTGACTGACATAACGATATGTACAACGTACGTGCATGTAGCCTACATTTACAAAGCAGAGTTATTGTCAAACTGAAGTTTTAAGCGTGCGCAGGGCATGTACGAGTTAGCTTATTGCCTCGAAGCTTTGAAATATTTTAGACCTACCCTTAAATAGACAATTAAAGTAAAAACTAATATAAAAACTGCCATGGTTGATTTTTCAGGAATTTTCTATGGAAAAAGGGTCTTTTCATCATAACTTCCGGTCTGATGACGTCATACACCTTAAACTTCGCACACGTCTTAAGTGGGTCAAGGTCATCATATACACCAATATTTAGGCGATTCCGACAAACTTCGCTACAGACATCTATTCAAAATACATTTTTGAAAATTTTCAACCTGTCGCTAGAGGGCGCTCGAAGATTGCATGACGTCATCGGTAGATGATTTGAAGAATACTATCAGCCAAGAGACTAACACCGTTACAAGCAAGTTCATATCTATTACCACTTTTAAATCATAAGCCACTTCCGGTTTTGGCCTTTTTCGACCGGAAGCAAGGGTCACATGATTTTACGCACACTAAATGAAATAAAGACCTCAACCTACTCTACCATTTGCCGGCAACAGAATGCTGCGGACGCGTACGGTTGATTTCTTATGCATTTTTAAATATTAAAAGTGTCACAATTTAATTGCCTATAAATAAACACCGGATGACGTCATCATGACGTCATCATTACACAATGTTGTTTAAATTAGGGTCATTGCTTGGACAAAGATTGGTGTAAATGAATTACTGGCAAAGTGTCGAAAATGCCCTCTGAAAATTGACATTTTTTTTTAAATTTCTGTGTACAAAGTCTATGGGAAAAATTAAATATTCAAAATTCTATAATAAATCACATGATGACGTCAGCATGACGAAAAGTTTCAGCACACATCTTCAGATGGTGGTCTAAGTGTGTGCCAGGTTTGAAGTCGATCGGATTTGAAAAAAAGCCAAAAGTGATTTGTAGAACGAAAACACGTGTTATCCTATGAGAAAAAAGTCTGAAAAATAAAAGAGAAAAAAAAAATAACAGAAACTAGAAATGTGTTTGTGGACAAACACTGAGCTGTTTCGACCGTTTTATTAATGACTGCCGTAAAGGAGTTTCATCCAGATCGAATGAACATGTACATGCGTATTCTATACAAAAAGTGTCTATCCTACGTCCCTTACTATGCATGAACATAAAATCTGTCAAAGTTAGCCGGAAATCGGCTAAAACGGTCACTGTGGACAGGATTTGACCTCAGCAACACGTGCGCTGGCGCGGGCTGACTGACATACGATATGTACAACGTACGTGCATGTACATGTACATTGTGGACTGTGCATGTTTTAAAGCAGAGTTATTGTCAACCTGAAGTTTTAAGCGTGCGCAGGGCATGTCCGAGTTTGCTTATTGCCCCGAAGCTTTGAAATATTTTAGACCTACCCTTAAATAGACAATTAAAGTAAAAACTAATATAAAAACTGCCATGGTTGATTTTTCAGGAATTTTTTAAGGAAAAAGGGTCTTTTCATTATAACTTCCGGTCTGATGACGTCATACACCTTAAACTTCGCACACGTCTTAAGTGGGTCAAGGTCATCATATACACCAATATTTAGGCGATTCCGACAAACTTCGCCACAGACATCTATTCAAAATACATTTTTGAAAATTTTCAACCTGTCGCTAGAGGGCGCTCGAAGATTGCATGACGTCATCGGTAGATGATTTGAAGAATACTATCAGCCAAGAGACTAACACAGTTAAAAGCAAGTTCATATCTATTACCACTTTTAAATAATAAGCCACTTCCGGTTTTGGCCTTTTTCGACCGGAAGCAAGGGTCACGTGATTTCACGCACACTGAATGAAATAAAGACCTTAACCTACTCTACCACTTGCCGGCAACAGAATGCTGCGGACGCGTACGGTTGATTTCTTATGCATTTTTAAATATTACAATTGTCACAATTTAATTGCCTATAAATAAACACCGGATGACGTCATCATGACGTCATCATTACACAATGTTGTTTGAATTAGGGTCATAGCTTGGACAAAGATTGGTGTAAATGAATTACTGGCAAAGTGTCGAAAATGCCCTCTGAAAATTGACATTTTTTTTTAAATTTCTGTGTACAAAGTCTATGGGAAAAATTAAATATTCAAAATTCTATAATAAATCACGTGATGACGTCAGCATGACGAAAAGTTTCGGCACACATCTTCAGATGGTGGTCTAAGTGTGTGCCAGGTTTGAAGTCGATCGGATTTGGAAAAAAACCAAAAGTGACTTGTAGAACGAAAACACGTATTATCCTATGAGAAAAAAGTCTGAAAAACAAAAGAGAAAAAACTAGAGATCTATGTCTGTTTGCAACAGAACATAGGGCTTTTCCGCATTATGATTTTTTTTTAATCAATAATACGTCTCTGACTATGCATGAACATAAAGTCTGTCAAAGTTAGCCGAAAATCTGCTAAAACGGTCACTGTGGTCAGGATTTGACCTCAGCAACACGTGCCCTGCGGGCTGACTGACATACGATGTATGTGCGTATAAACAACGTACGTGCATGTACATGTACATTGTGGACGTCCTGTGCATGTTTTGTCAAAGTTAGCCAAAATCGGCTAAAACGGTCACTGTGGTCAGGATTTGACCTGAGCAACACGTGCCCTGCGCGCTGACTGACTTAAGATGTATGTGCGTATGTACAACGTACGTGCATGTACATGTACATTGTGAAATTCCTGTGCATGTTTTAAAGCAGAGGCATATTGTCAACCTGAAGTTTTGAGCGTGCGCAGGCCATGTTCGAGTTCGCTTATTGCCTCGAAGCTTTGAAATGTTTTAAACCTACCCTTAAGTCGACAGTTAAAGTAAAAACAAATATAAAAACTGCCATGGTTGATTTTTCAGGAATTTTCAAAGGAAAAAGAGTCTTTTCATTATAACTTCCGGTCTGATGACGTCATACGCCTAAAACTTCTCACACGTCTTAAGGGGGTCAAGGTTATCATATACACCAATATTTAGGCGATTCCGACAAACTTCGCCACAGACATCTATTCAAAACACATTTTTGCAAATTTTCAAACTGTCGCTAGAGGGCGCTCGAAGATTGCATGACGTCATTGATAGATGATTTGAAGAATACTATTGGGCAGTAGACGAACACCGTTAAAAGCAAGTTCATATCTATTAGCACTTTCAAATAATAAGCCACTTCCGGTTTGGGCCTTTTTCGACCGGAAGCAAGGGTCACGTGATTTCACGCACACTGAATGAAATAAAGACCTCAACCTACTCTACCACTTGCCGGCAACAGAATGCTGCGGACGCGTACGGTTGATTTCTTATGCATTTTTAAATATTAAAAGTGTCACAATTTAATTGCCTATAAATCAACACAGGATGACGTCATCATGACGTCATCATTCCACAATGTTGTTTGAATTAGGGTCTTTGCTTGGACAAAGAGTGGTGTAAATGAATTACTGGCAAGGAGTCAAAATGCCCTTTGAAAAGCGACAATGTTTTTTTAAATTTCTGTGTACAAAGTCTATGGGAAAAATTTAATATTCAAAAATCTATAATAAATTAGTCAATGACGTCACCATGACGTCAATCTTCGGGACACATCTTTGCTATAGGGACTATGCTTATGCAAACTTTGAATGATGTATGACAAAGATTACTGCCAAAAGTGGCACTGAGAAAAAACGTGCACAAAGTCTATGGGGTTTTGGCGACAAAAAGAAGAAGGAACTAGAGATCTATGTCTGTTTGCAACAGAACATAGGGCTTTTCCGCATTATGATTTTTTTTAATCAATAATATTCCCTGAATATGCATGAACATAAAATCTGTCAAAGTTAGCCGAAAAATCGGCTAAAACGGTCACTGTGGACAGGATTTGTCCTCGGCAATACGATGTATGTGCGTGTGCACAAGGTCTTTGCTTGGACAAAGAGTGATCTAAATAAATTACTGGCAAAGAGTCGAAAACGCACTTTGAAAATCGACAAATATGTTTAAATTTGTTGATGACGTCATCGTGACGTCACTTCGAACTTTGCATACTAGTATGATTAACTACCTACCCACCAAGTTTCATGACAATTGGACCTTTCCTTATATGAGTTTTGCAAAATCGCATTTTGATGACGTCATGATGACGTCACACATTTTTTTTCAAGTTTTGTGCAAATAGCTATTACATAACAGACCAAATGCAACAAAGAATTTTGCATTTTGCATGTTGCGTTCGGGAGATATGGCTAAAAGTCCAATCAAATAAATATTCATATAAAATCTCAGGATGACGTCATCATGACGTGACCTCATTTTTAATCTATAACACATCCTGGTATAGCCACATACCAAGTTTCAACCCAATCGGACTTACATTTCTGTAGATATAAGACTTCACAATATGTACGTAAATTTTCAAAAATCAATAAAGAATTAGGTGATGACGTCATCGTGAGTCATAGTCTTGGCATAATTTTTGTATGAGGGTCTTTCTTGGCTGTAACTTTGATGACGATTCCAGATCGCCAAAATACGAAAATGGTGGCTTGAAAACGTGTAGAAAGTCAATAGGTTAAAAATCCCACAGCAGAAAAACTGCACCTTTAAATGCGTGATTTTCCTTTAAACTGAAACATTTTTATAAAATATTACTTGCTATTCTAACTCTTGGGAATATTTTCAATCAAATGAAAGGCGTAAAAAAATACGATTTCTTTTTCCTTCTCATAGTAATTCTCAGCCGAAGTTTAGAACTACTCAGTAAGATATATTAGTGTTGTATAGGGAAAGACTTGTGGAGAAAGCTGTGTACAAAGTCTATGAGAAAAATTAATTATTCATAAATCCATAATAAATCACTTGATGACGTCACCATGACGTCACTCTTCGGGACACGTCTTGGCTATAGGGACTATGCTTATGGCTGATATCTGAAAAAGATTAATGCCAAGAGTGCTATAATACGTCCATGTCTATGCGCATGGATGAACATAAAATCTGTCAAAGTTAGCCGAAAATCGGCTAAAACGTTCACTGTGACAGGATTTGACCTCAGCAACACGTGCGCTGCAGGCTGACTGACATACGATGTACGTGCCTATGTACAACGTACGTGCATGTACATGTACATGTACATTGTGGACGTCCTGTCCTGTGCATGTTTTGAAGCAGAGGTATTGTCAACGTGAAGTTTTAAGCGTGCACATGGTATGTTCGAGTTTGCTTATCGCCTCGAAACTTTGAAATGTTTTAGACCTACCCTTCAATCGACAATTAAAGTAAAAACAAATATAAAAACTGCCATGGTTGATTTTTCAGGAATTTTCAAATAAAAAAGGGTCTTTTTATTGTAACTTCCGGTTTGATGACGTCATTTGCCTAAAACTTCGCACACGTCTTAAGTGGGTCAAGGTCATCATATACACCAATATTTAGGCGATTACGACAAACTTCGCTACAGACATCTATTCAAAATACATTTTTGCTAATTTTCAACCCGTCGCTAGAGGGCGCTCGAAGATTGCATGACGTCATCGGTAGATGATTTGAAGAATACTATTGGCCAAGAGACTAACACCGTTAAAAGCAAGTTTATATCTATTACCACTTTCAAATGATAAGCCACTTCCGGTTTGGGCCTTTTTCGACCGGAAGCAGGGGTCACGTGATTTCACGCACACTGAATAAAATAAAGACCTCAACCTATTCTACCACTTGCCGGCAACAAAATGCTGCGGACGCGTACGGTTGATTTCTTATGCATTTTTGAATATTAAAAGTGTCACAATTTAATTGCCTATAAATACACACCTGATGACGTCATCATGACGTCATCATTACACAATGTTGTTTAAATTAGGGTCTTTGCTTAGACAAAGATTGGTGTAAATAAATTACTGGCAAAGAGTCAAAAATGCCCTTTGCAAATCGACAATTTTTTTTAATCTTCTGTGTACAAAGTCTATGGGAAAAATTAAATATTCAAAAATCTATAATAAATTAGTCGATGACGTCACCATGACGTCAATCTTCGGGACACATCTTTGCTATAGGGACTATGCTTATGCTAACTTTGAATGATGTATAACAAAGATTAATGCCAAAAGTGGCGTTGAGAAAAAACGTGCACAAAGTCTATGGGATTTAGGCGACAAAAAGAAGAAGCCAAAAAAAAAAAAAAAAATGAGAACAAAAACAAAGGCTTTTCCGCAACTTTGCGGAAAAGCCAAAAAAAAAAAAAAAAAAAAAAATGAGAACAAAAACAAAGGCTTTTCCGCACTATGCGGAAAAGCCAAAAAAACTAGAAATTGTGGTTGTGAACAACCACAGAGCTGTTCCCAATATTGATTATCTGTTGGACCAATAGACATATAAGTAGAGATCTATGTCTGTTTGCAACAGAAGATAGGGCTTTCCGCATTATGATTTGTTTTTATCAACGTCCCTGACTATCACTATGCATGAACATAAAATCTGTCAAAGTTAGCCGGAAATCGGCTAAAACGGTCACTGTGGACAGGATTTGACCTCAGCAACACGTGCGCTGCGCGCGGGCTGACCGACATACGATATGTACAACGTACGATGTACGTGCATGTACATGTACATTGTGGACGTCCTGTGCATGTTTTAAAGCAGAGGTATTGTCAACCTGAAGTTTTAAGCGTGCGCAGGGCATGTCCGAGTTTGCTTATTGCCTCGAAGCTTTGAAATGTTTTAGACCTACCCTTAAATAGACAATTAAAGTAAAAACTAATATAAAAACTGCCATGGTTGATTTTTCAGGAATTTTCTAAGGAAAAAGGGTCTTTTCATTATAACTTCCGGTCTGATGACGTCATACACCTAAAACTTCGCACACGTCTTAAGTGGGTCAAGGTCATCATATACACCAATATTTAGGCGATTCCGACAAACTTCGCCACAGACATCTATTCAAAATGCATTTTTGAAAATTTTCAACCTGTCGCTAGAGGGCGCTAGAAGATTGCATGACGTCATCGGTAGATGATTTGAAGAATACTGTCAGCCAAGAGACTAACACCGTTGAAAGCAAGTTCATATCTATTACCACTTTTAAATAATAAGCCACTTCCGGTTTTGGCCTTTTTCGACCGGAAGCAAGGGTCACGTGATATCACGCACACTGAATGAAATAAAGACCTCAACCTACTCTACCACTTGCCGGCAACAGAATGCTGCGGACGCGTATGGTTGATTTCTTATGCATTTTTAAATTTTAAAAGTGTCACAATTTAATTGCCTATAAATAAACACCGGATGACGTCATCATAACGTCATCATTACACAATGTTGTTTGATTTAGGGTCTTTGCTTGGACAAAGATTGGTGTAAATGAATTACTGGCAAAGAGTTGAAAATGCCCTCTGAAAATTGACATTTTTAAAAAAAAATTGTGTACAAAGTCAATGGAAAAAATTAAATATTCAAAATTCTATAATAAATCACGTGATGACGTCAGCATGACGAAAAGTTTCGGCACACATCCTCAGATGATGGTTAATAACTATGCTGAGTTTAAAGTTGATCGGATTTAAAATAATTGCCAAAGTGGCTTGTACTATAAAAACGTGTACAAAACCTATGGGGAAAAGTGGAAAAAGAAAAAGAAGAAAAAAAAAAAAAGGAAAAAAAAAAACTTTAACGAAAACAAGAGCTGTTCCCAATTGAAATTGGGAACAGCTAATAACAGAAACAAGAGCTGTTTCGGTGTGTACACCGAAACAGCTAAATAGTCTGGTGCCTGCCTGTGCGTTACATTTGCGTTTGTTTTTGTATGCGGTGTCTGGGGTGAAAACAGAATCAATTCGTCGCAGCGAGAGTATGGCGTGAGTTACGAAAACACGATTTTATTTTAATTACGATTTTAACGAGACAACATGCAGTTTCACATTTCATATTATTATTAACAAATTGGAAAGGAAATGAATATTTTTGGGAAGGCGTGGACGAATGATCGCGAAAACACGTACTGCACGTTGTGAATAACAAGACCAACTACACGATATAAATCCATTATTAGCAAATTGAGGTATCGAATCAGGATACAGGGAGAAAGTTTCCTATCCAGGGCTTACTATTGGAAACGAGGTTGGAAATAAAGTAAGCACTGGGGACGAGGTTGCATATACATGTTTTTATGTAATTCCCTCCTTAATAAAAATTGACGTTTATAATTTTAGAGTTGTTGTTTATCCATTGCTATTATTTTTTTACTGAACAAAATATGTAATCAAATATTTGAACGAGGCTGATGTAAGTGCCGCCATTTTTTAAATACCACGCTAGCGCTACACGCACATCAGGAATTATCGTCTGCGCGCGCTCTGCGCGGATCAATACGGTAGTGGCAAATATTGACGCTATTATTCCAAATTCCGTAATAATTTCTTGAACCTGTAGAAGAGGAAAATGAAGTCTTCAACTCGCCAAAGTCCGAGAACTAAGCAGACGTTTTTAGCAAGGTAAGTTAATTTTAGCTGAAAAGATGAGTTGGGTTGAGAAGTTCAACTCAAGCTATATCGTGGTTGTTACAAAATGTTAGAAACGCTTGTACATGTAGCTAGTTTATTGTTCCCTAACGTGGCGCACTTCGATATTTACCCCGACTTTCCACATCAGTGTTGCCAAAGTCTTTGTTGACAAACTTTCATTCAGTGAAATACTGGTACTTTTACCTTATTAATGCTTGCTATTTAACATCTGTGAACTATTTCGGTGTCATGAAATTTAATCCGATATTCAAAAACGGTGGCGTCCGGAAATTGGGCACAAATCCCTAACAGTAACATGACGCACTTGAATAAATCTCGGGAAATCGCAAGTTGAGCATTTAAAAAATTCTGTTAGATTGGTAATTCTAATAAACCATTATTTTCTCTACCTACATACCAACCTAGACGTTTGTCAGAAAATTATGTTCTTATTTATTTTTTTATTTTTTTTGGGGGGGGGGGGGGACAATTTCAAAGGGTTCACTGTGCACTTCGAAATAAAATCGGAAAATCACGCCAAAATAAATTGTTCTTCTAACTTTGTAACGGGTAGATAAACTCGTGATTTATGCACGGGAGTGTTTAAAACTTGATAAAATGAATTCCGCTTTCTGTGAAATTTCAGTTTAAACTTTTGCTCTAGCTGGGCGCTACAGGCGAAAAAATCAGAGTGCGACGCCAAGTTAAGGGGCCGCACCATGTATGGTACATCAACAATAGCACGTAGGGCGCCCGTCGCTCAAATTAGAGTCAAGGGTGTTTTTTATTACTCAAAAATGAACTTTTCCACATAAAGCAGACTTCTCTAAATATAATGACACTTATTTTGTAATTTTTGAACAGTTTCTTGGGGTAGAAGTTACGATTTTCCTCGAATCGTGCCTTTCGTTTTGTCGTCATTTTACCCCAACATTTCCCTCAAAAATTCAAAACCCTGCCCTTTATCTATGACATACCTGTATGTTCTTAATGTCGCCAACTAGTTTGGCGAGTTATTTTAACATTAATCTACAACTATGGGAAATATTCTGCCACGATCAAAATCAGTTTAGGCTTGTTACATGCAGTGTTGTTTTCTTCAATGCAAACAAATCTCAATCTACGGGTTCCGCCGAACGTAACTGTTACAGCGCCCTCTATCGGGGGATTAACATCATGGCGAAGTTTACATGATCTGACTTGAAATGACTCGCTGGAGGAAAGCATCCGTTGTGATGCCTCCAAGAATTTCCACCTGTGTGATGGATGTATTCAGCTCCTTAGAGGCCCATGCAACCATCTCCACCGCCATCAAGGAATCCACTCCGTAATCCACCATGGGCTGATGCAGGTCGATGCCGTCTGGATCGACGCAGAGCAGGCGGCCCATCTTCTCTCGCACCCGGCCCTCGGCGACTTTACGGTGAACTACTCGGACGTTGGAGGAGGAACGCCTCAGCCTGGCCGTTTGGACGAAATGACGAAATTTCAAAATGCCGCTGTGACAAAACTTGAGGGTGTTGTTCCACACCTTATTTTAGTAGAGGGTGGAGAAAATACAAGAGAAGTGTTGTTAATACAAATAATGAAAGGTTTGCGGAAACACCATGTGCGAATAATTTCTCAACTAAGAGAATGGTTCTGAAAAGAACCAGAGGTATAACCTCGACGTTCCGGAGCATACTGACCGGAACGTCGAGTTTATACCTCTGGTTCTTTACAGAACCATTCTTTTAGTTGAGAAATTATTCGCACATGGTGTTTCCGCAAACCTTTCATTATTTAGTATCTCCACCATGCAAAGCCTTAAATCTTACTTGTTGTTAATACAGTTATCTATGCCTTTGGTTGAAGGAAATAAATGACATTTTGACCAAAGGATATCATTAGTAGCATGCAATGCTAATTTTGTTTTCGTATGATATGAATTAAGAAATCAAGATGAGTAATTTAAACAGACAATAAGTAACTTTCATCTATGATTTGGTTTTCTCATTTTTCTAATTAAATAGGACACGGTTTAAATTACGAAACACGAATGGACAGTTGAGAATGTCGTTCTTGAATAATTTACAGGCGCTAAGACTGACAAAATGTTTATCTGATAATATGAACTGAAGCGTGAATAATATAACTTAGTTAAAAATTGTTTCCACATTATTTTAATAAAGCCTCGGATCAGTGTGTTATGAAAAGGGAATACATAATAAACTGCGCGATGTGACGCAGGACGCAGCCGGGTTTTACCGGTGGTGTAAAACCACCCAAGTGACGGGCTCTCGACCAATATGAATTGGTAAACTGTCTCAGGTATTTATGAATATGAAATTCAAATTAATTTCAATTTTGTTGTTTTTCTTTAATGATTAGTAGTTCACCTGTTTTGTTTTTGAGGGGAGGAGGTTTTGATTTGAATTGAATCGAACCGCAAAAGTTTCTGCCGGTGCCAACATACCTGGTTAGACAGACACAGCACAGCAGGGGTATTCTTGATCTGAAGGATTTGACTAATGACCTGAAGCACCTCATCGATGTGGAGTGTAAGGCTTCCCTTTATCGCAAAAGTTTCCACAATATCTGCATTCTTTTCCAGGAATCCTGCACCCCTCACTGGCCCAAGTTGGAGGCTGATAGCAGGGAGGCCCATGGCCCGTCTCTCTTCGGCCAGTGCGTCGAGGTAAGCATTGGCTGCGCAGTAGCCTGGTTGCGAGGAGTGTCCCCACATCGAGGTACTAGATGACATCATGAAGAAGATATCCAATGGAAGATCCTGGGTGAGATTGTGGAGGTTCTTGGCACCGGTCGTCTTTGCTCCTAAGATCAGATCCAGCATCTTGGGTGTGAGGGTGGATAAGGATTCCTCCAAAATACGCCCAGCAAGATGGAACACACCCTTCACCACTGGTGCATTGTGGATAGTTGACAACTCACTCAACATCGCCTGAACATCACTTGTCTTGGACACATCTTTTGCAAAGTCAAAGACGGTTGCTCCTTTCTTCTTTAAGTAGCTTACTGTGCGACGAGCAGCATCAGTGTGACATCCGTGAAGGGACACAAGACTTATATAGCGTGCACCTCTGTCGCAGACCCATCTTGCGAGGGCCAATCCCAAACCACCATACCCACCAGTGATTATATATGTGGCGTTTGCGTCAAAGATGTGGGAGAAAGACGATACATGAGAAGGCTTGAAGTCAGGTGGGATACTGAAGACAATCTTTCCGATGTGATTTCCTTTCGCCATTTGGGTAAAAGTGTCTTGGTAATCTTCGATGGAGTTCGCCGTTGTTGGTATTGGATTGAGAGGACCATTGTTTCCGAAGTGTGAAATCACCTCAAGGAGAAGATGGTGCATTTTGTCTTTCTGAAGTTTCATCATCCTGTCGATTTGGCATGACATGAACGACTTGTTCTCAAGCAGGAGACTCATTTGGAGGCTGGAGTTTTGAAGAATGTCCCGCTTCCCGATCTCGCAAAATCGCCCACCGGGGTTTAAAGCTTCAATGCCTCTTGAAAGTTTCTCCCCGTGCAGTGAGTTCAAAACCACATCAACACCAAACCCGTCAGTCCAGGCCATGACATCGTCATAAAATCTCTCCGAGCGTGAGTCAGTGACCAGTTCAATCCCAAGTTCATTTCTGAGATATGATCGTTTGTTTTCACTTCCTGCACTGCAGATGATACGAGCTCCGACCATCTTGGCGACCTGAATGGCCGCCAAACCAACGCCACCACACGCCGAATGAATCAGGACTATTTCATCATTCTTGAGATTGGCTCTCTGAACAAGTGCGTGGTAGGCCGTGGTAAATACAACACAAACACCAGCAGCATCGTTCCACTCAATGCACGATGGCTTGTGAACCAACAACTGAGCATCGCAGACGGTCTGTGAGGCAAGGCAGTGTTTTCCAAAACCCATAACTTCATCACCGATGTGAAAAGAAGTGACTCCATCACCAATTTTCTCAATTAATCCCGAGCACTCCAGACCAATATGAGGCGTGACAACGTTATCACTGTCATCCAAGCCATCCAAAAGCCCCAGTGACATCATGACATCCTTGAAATTCAGTCCCGCAGATTTCACGTTGACAACCACGTCACCAGGGAGTGGGTCCAATTCATCTAAGAAGCTAAAACCAAGATCTTCAACAGATGACGAACTCTTGGATGCTCCATCTTTATTGATACCAAGCTGCCAGTGACTTCCATCCACCACATCATTACCAGTCGAGAGCTCGACTCGGATTATTCGTGGCACAGTGACCTCTCCCTTGCTTATCATGAGTTCTCTGTCTCCAACCTCCTTGTCCTTCAAGAGCCCTTCAAGTGATTCTATGCTGGCACTCTTGGTGTCTCTCATCTGAATAGAGTAAATGGGCAGATGGATTCCATTTGTGACTGACCGAACGAGACCCACCACTCTAGCTGCTTCACTTTTTGTTCCGATTACCACCACAAACACTTTCCTGAAACTCAGTGTCTTAGATTCAATCCCTTGAAGTAGCTTTGTAAGTTGATAAAGACTGTCTTCTGGGTTGTAGATGCAAACCAAGCTGTTTCTTTCTGCCATGGGGTTTTGAGGTAGAGCTTTCATCGGATCCTCTCCTCCAAGACACATATTCTCTACCGGGACGCCCAGTTTCACACAAAGTCCACGAGCAGTTGCATCATGACCATCGAAAAGCACGAAGCATGGACAGGACGCTGGATCCCTAAACAAATCTGTTGGTTGATTCTCCGAAATCTTGCAACCAACAAAGATGCCATGGAAGTATTTTTGTGGCGTTGATACAACAACAATCTCCTTAAAGCCATTGGTACTGAGAACATCCTTCCATCCGTCTTCCGTCAAGAAGCAATTGTCTTGACCACTCAACAAGACATCTCCAATACAAGTGGTGTTAGCCATCAGCTCTCCCATGAAAAGCCAGCCTCCGAAACAAAGAAGCTTGTACATGTTTCTTAAGCTTCTATTGAGATCTTCAGACAAGTGGATAACATCCATACAGATGACGACATCAACAGATCCTGGCACGAAACCTTGTGACACTACATCCTCTCCAAGATCAAGTCGCTGATACTTAACAAATGAAAACCCGGGGAGTTGTTCTTGATGTGGATGACCGCCTGAATATGTAGCCGAGAAGCTGTATATGTACTCCACCTGACTTTCCTCGCAAAGCTCTCTCAAAAGAGGTAATGCGTGTTTGGCTAGTCCACCGAACTGTCCACCAACTTCGAGAATACGAACAACGCTCTTCTTCTGAAGTGCTACCTTGACAGCACTGTGAATGACATCCGCACCAGCTTTGTAGCATACTCGAACCAGCGCTGAATCCATCACAGCAGAACTCGTGTCTGTTAGAGACGACCTTGAAGACAATGCAGATAGATCCTTCAGAGTATTCGGAAGGTTGTTTCCGAGTCTTCGTAACAGGGCTATCTCTTGCTGCATTTCTGGCAAATTGGCTTGGATGTTTTCCAAAACAGACTCAATATCTGTAACAGCCACTTTATCAGAACAATTTTCTCTTGACATTTTTTTCAGGCTTTTCAGATAGCAATCCTGTTGTTGGTTGAACTTTTTGTCTTCCACGTCTTTTAAGGCCCGGTGGATGTACGAGGCACAAACCTCCTCAAGAGATTGAATCCATGGCTGCGCTTTTGCAATAAATCCCATCTCATCACCAAACCTTGCATCCAGATAGTCAACACCAAACTTTTCACAAGCCATTGATGTAGCTGGAAGACATGATTTCACTGATTGCATCCGTGTGGTGTACAGGCAAGACTCTAGACCTACATCCGTCTTGGAACCAGTGATGTTGTGACTCTCACAATTGCTGGCTTTGAGTAGTACTTTGCCTTCACTTGTAGCAATTGTGATATCCCCCACAAGTACTTTGGAATCCAGATCAGTTATCCGGACGTAGGCGACGAGTGGTTTAGAGGTCGGCATAGAGGGGACACTCATGTGCAATGACTTCATGGAAACTGGAAGGTACAGGCCTCCCCCAGCCTCAAAAAGTAACAACTGCATGCCAGCATCAACGTGTGTGACCTGCATTCGCTGTTTACTGTCTGATTTCAGTGGCAAGAGGAACCCAACAACCTCCCCGTCTCCAAGAGCGACCTCTTTGACAACTTGAAATGATGGGCCATAATCAAAGCCCAGTTCAGCCAAGACATTGTAGATATCGTTTCCAGTGAAACGAGTTTTGCACCTCAAGAGGATCTCCTCAATCGAGATGGCACCTAAATCAATATCTGGGGAGCTTTCGACCTTCGCCGAGGAATAGCTGACGCCATCCGAGGTCACTTGGACGTTAGACCCCTCTCTTTGGCACTGCAGACCAAGTGCCTTGGTACTGCCGTCTTTCAACACCGTCCACGTAAGAATCTTGCTGAAAGATACTTTCGAGAGAGCGGGACATTCAGTCTCATGAAAGACTGACTGCACCATCATCTCGAGATAACCTGCTCCCGGAAATACAAGATGGTCCTGGACAACATGATCAGCCAGAAACGGAAACATCTCGAGGGAAATATTCCCAGACTGTCCCTTGAATGTTCGATCGTCTTGACCAAGTCTGCGCTTACGTCTTTCTTCAGTTTCCAGCCAGAAGGACTGATGCTGCCAGGGGTAAGTTGGCAACCGTACCCAAGGACCACATCCTCCTGTGACGATGCTCCAATTGATGTCACATCCAGCCACGTACAGGTTGGCTAAAGCCCGTATCACGGTCAGGTAGTCGTCCTGCTCTCGCTGCCCTGTTGGGACGAGTTTGCTTGACACACCCTTGAAATGCGTAGAAATCTGATTCACGGATGAGAGCAAGGTGGCAGAGGCGCCAATCTCCAGGAACAGGTCGACGTCTGTGTTCAGAATTTCCTCCACGGCTGCCTGAAACTTTACAGTGCCTCTGATGTTTTCCCACCAGTAGTCGGTATCAAATCCACCCGTGTATAACTCCCCGGTAACAGTGGAATAGAAGGGAATCAAACCGGGTTCTGGTTTTGCCTTGACAGCACCTTCCATGGCCCCTCGGAATGGCACCTCCATCGGATTCATAAATGGAGTATGGAATGCACATTCGACTCTCAGTAGTTTTGCCACAGTGGGGTTATTGTGTGTTATTTCATCGATCGCATCGGTGTTTCCAGCGATTGTAGTTACTGCTGGGGCATTGACAGCGGCTACGTATAAGTTCTCATACTGGTGGCAGACACATTTTGCTTCAGACAGTGGCAGACGAAGAGCTGCCATGCTTCCAGCTCCTTTAAGCTTCGACTGTTGAGAGCTTCGATGGTATATAACACGAACAGCTTCGGGAAGGGTGAGACCGCCACTAACATAGGCCGCAGCAACCTCACCAAGACTGTGACCGACCGTTACGTCTGGGTGGATTCCCCAGGATCGCAGCAGATGCACCAAAGCGATCTGGAAAAACAAGATGGAGGGCTGTAAAACAGCAGTATGATTCATCTCAGTATCCAAAGTAGTCGCAGCATTCGCTTGATCTCCTGATCCGTTAGTGGAAAAGATATTTTTATCGTACAGCAATGACCAACCGCTCAGTTGTTTGAATACCTCGTCGCATTCCATCACAGCTTCACGGAAGACTTTCTCCTGGATGAACAGTTGCTGTCCCATCCTTCCCCACTGCTGCCCCTGCCCAGGAAAGACAAAACAGATCTTGGGTTTCTTGCTGAAAGTACCAACTGCAATCCCACTGCCACTTCCTGCGTTCAGAAATTGTTTAGTTTGATCTCGGAAAGCCTCACCAGAATTGCTGACGAATGCTAATCGACACCCGTAGTGCTTTCTACGACATGACAACCAAGAAACAACTTGAAGAGCATCGCATTCGTTGCTGAAATTTTGCCACTGCTCAGCAACATCATTCAGAGCTTCTTTGGACTTTGCTGAAAGGGGTATAACAATGTGAACCCCAGGGCTGATACCTCCAAACTTCCAGTCCGAAGACCGTATGGACTTTTTTCTGTTTGTGACATTTTTCGGGGCCTCTTGGAAAACAACGTGACCTACTGCTCCCCCAAATCCAGCGGTGTTCAGACTAAAAGTTATGGTCTTTTGAGAAGGTGGCACCTCTTGTAGCTGTGTTTGCACTTGGAGTTTCCAGTCATCCAACTTGATATTTGGGTTTGTCTCAACGAAATTGATAGTTGGACAAAGTATCTTGTGGTCTAACATCAGGGCTACTTTAATAGCGGTGGTGACCCCGGAGGAACACTCACTGTGGCCAAAGTTTCCTTTGGCAGAACCAATCTTAAGTGGTGTCTCTCTGTGGGGGCCAAAGGTTTCTCCGAGGGCTTTTGCTTCAAGAGGATCGCCAACAGGTGTCCCCGTTCCGTGTGCTTCTACGTATAGAACATCTGATAGTGGAATGCCGGACCGAAAGTAGGCTTGTTTCATTACGTATTCCTGTGCTGTGCTTGAAGGCATTGTCAGGCTGGTAGAATACCCATTGGCTGCGATAGCCGTACCCCTAATAACTGCATAGATATGATCACCATCTTCTTGTGCAATTGGAAGTGGTTTCAAGATGAGCGCACCCCAGCCTTCGCTGCGCACATACCCCTTGGCTGTGTTAGAAAACGGACAGCATTTACCGTCTGTGGACAAAGTGCCAAGTGCGGAGAAAGCCACCGATGTCTCGGGGAGAATCAGTGCGTTGCAGCCGGCCATGACAGCCGTTTGACACTCGCGATTCCTGAGCCCAGTGCAGGCAAGATGCATTGCGGTGATTGACGAGGCGCAAGCAGTGTCCACGGAATAACTCGGCCCTCGCAGATCGAATGCGTAGGACACTCGATTGGCAGCAATGCTGGAGGAAACCCCCGTTAATGTATACGGGTTGATCAGTGAAGCGTCTGATACTGTCTGAACCGTATAGTCCATCAATCCTGCAGCTACATAAACACCACCTGAGGTTCCTAGAGTATCCGGTATGATACCAGCATCCTCAAATGCCTCATGCACAACCTCCAACAGAAGGCGCTGCTGGGGGTCCATAGACATAGCCTCTCTGGGGGAAATCTTGAAGAAGGTGTTATCAAACCTGTCGATGCCTTCCACGAAGCCGCCCTTGCGTGAGATCATCTTACCTTGTTTAGAGTGATCGGGATCGTAGAACTTTTCCAGTGACCACCTGTCTGGAGGAACCTCTGTTATGGTGTCCTTACCATCCCGGATGACCTTCCAGAAATCTTCAGGAGAATGTACACCTCCTGGCAAACGGCATCCTGTGACACACAAATGGGGAGCTCTCAATGTCCAAGATTTGGTGGTTTTACTGATGGATTATGAAGTGGTGTGTATGTACATTGTGGAATGTACATATGGATTGTTTAACCATTTTGATTGTGATCGCTTCTAAGTTCTAGTATAATTTTTTGGAACTCCAGGAAAACAATTTTCACTCTGTTTATTAAGTAGTGACAATAAAGTATCTTGAATCTTAAGTGTGTATTTTAAGAAGTGCAAAGATAAATCTGAAAAAAAGAGTAGCAACATATCTCAATTTATGACAGCACCTCTTAACAACATAATAATCAAGATTTATCATCTGTGCACTTTATAAATCGAAGAGAATGTAAACTAATCTATGTATTAGGTAATGAACACTGACAGATCGCGAATTTAGCACACACACACAAAAAGAACGCCAATATTTTTTCAACCATGTATACTTAGTCTCTATGCCTGTCTTCATGTAAAGCCCCTCTCCACACAGAGGGCGCTAGTCTCAACGGGAGGTTTGTCTTCTGACAAACCTTGGGTGACGGCGCGACACTTCAGGTTGCAGACCAGTAAATCGGTCCGAAATTGCCTACGCCGGCCAAATCACGATTTGCATGCCCTCAAAATCTCCAGTATTTGAGCATGCTGCGGGCCATGAACTAGAGGGTTTGTATAAAATATGGGTGGAAGTCGTGCACAGGACTGTGAGCTTGTAGTTCCGTTCAATTTGGATGAAATTGGGGCCCTAAAAGCGCTCTATTTTGCAATAGAGTGTAGGCATCGTTTTTCAAAATGGCGATGGGCTTCAGGACTATTTTAAGGGGTGATCACCTTCGGATGGAAATATCTCCTAAAAGTCATCAGTTGACCCCCCGTAAATTGAAAAGAAAATGAAAGATGATGAAATAAGCTTTAATTTGATTTGTGTCTCGAACACCTTGGAGAGTTGTGAGTATTTTTCCCGAATTTCTGAAGTGGGGGCATTTATCATTGGGGTCAATGGAAGTTTATTTACTGGTCTGCAACCTGTAAAGTCGCGTTTAAATGGCAGAAATGATGAGCTTCCAATTCATTTATCAGTTCAAGCATAATATTATTGACCAAAGGGAGTGGACAGATTATTCTTGGAAGTTGCTTCGAATTACACGAACGTTTTTGTATTAATATGACATTGAACGTCTGGTTTAAGGACGTCACAGCATTTGGTTGCCCAATAACAACAAAATATTGATATCAGCATTAACTTTGCGACAAAATTATCGCTACTGACTAACGAAATAAAATAGCACGATCATTTTCAAGTTTCATAACAATAAGTTCCGGTCTCATGGCGTCATCATTTTGGAAACCTTGCAAATTTATTTGTTACTCTCCACGGAATGTTTGTTGGAAATCCAAGCAACATTTTGCAATTTTGAAGTTGAACAAAGAAATCGTCTGCTGAGCGAGGCTTGAACCTGCGACCTCCGGATTTCTGTTCTGGTGCTCTACCAACTGAGCTATCTAGCCCTATGATGGCGGTCCCCCATTTTGTCAGCGTCTGTGTTCATTTGAAAATTTGCAATGAAGAGCCATAATCATAATGAGTGATCCCTGTTTGCTATTTCCCGGGTTTGCAGCATTGTTAACAATGTTGCTTTACATCTTGACTTTGGGCGGCTACATGGCATATACGGGTTTATGCTTCTGACAAGCATCCCACGAACAAGGGCGTTGACAAAATGGGGAACCGCCAACATAGGGCAACATTTTTAACTTGTAATTTAATACATGATGACGCCATGATTACGTCACAAAATTAACCTTTTTGTGGACAAGGATTCATGATCGTTTGCCCCCATCACCCAACTATCTAGCTCACATGCGAGATTTTAACTTGTTCGCAAAAAACCCCTAGCTATGCACATCCAAACTGTGTTTACCAAGGATTATGAGATTATGAGGTATATTTATATTTTCAATATAACTCAATATAACACTTCGCGCTGGTTTGAACTGCACTGACCGATCAATGGTCAATACGAGGTGTTACCTACCTATCCCAACTATCGCAATGGGGGGAAATGCTGTACTTCCTCCCGCTTCCTCCATGGTCCTTGCTAGTGTCCTCGCTTACAGCTCAGATCATGTATAGCACGTAGGTTTCTTGAAATATCTGTGTACAATCAGCAAACCACACAGTGGGGTTAAGGTCAGTCAATGGTCATAGTACTTCCGAATTTCTTTCAATAAGCCATTTGCAAGTTCAATTTGAATAAAATCTGGAACGCTGATTAAAGATCCTGTTATTATTTCACGTGATTCGGGGCAAGCCTTATGCTAGCAACCCCAGCTCCAGCATGGTCTGGTGTCTTTGTACCATTCTCACCCAAAGTGAACAACGTATTGGTGCTGAGCGTCTCTTACGTTACAATGCAAGAGCTTGCCCCGAATCATGCGATTAGCAACAGTGTCTTTGGTCTCGAAAACTCAAAGTTAAACTGAGCCAAGCATTCTGAGCAAGTCAGCATATCAAATGTTTTTCAAATTTAAATCCTAAATGCTATAGCTCACTCGCAAATGGCTTATTGAACAATTAAGACTTTCATGCGTTTCATTTTAAAAGGCAAGCATTTAATTTAATAAAAAAACAATCGAATTGTAGCAGCTGGTTTTTTTAATGAATAACGTTCAGATGTTATTGTATGTATTACTTGTTATTTTATGTATCACATTTTGTTGTGTTTTTCGTCCAAATGTACAAATTGCTCTACTTTTCTAACACTGAAACCAACTTCAATTCTATGAGTTTCTATCGGTCTAAATTCATTGTTCAGATGGATCAAATCAAGTTTACAGAAAATTTAACTTTAAAAAAAACTTTTTATTATTTAAGCAACAAGAGGGAAACAAGTGTATCCTGTGGATGTACAAAGTGTTGGTCAATAGGGGGTCTACCCGATGTTCCCCAATATCTGTGTTCCCCAATACCGATCTTCCCCGAAATCCGTAGGATTAGGGTTAGGGTTAGGGTTGTAGGGTAAGGTTTCGGGGAACATCGGTATTGGCACTAGGGCACGTGGTATTGAATCGTGCTTGCACAGGTACCCCCTCAACGGTGACACAGTGCCGATATTGAAGGACACTTGATATTTAGGTTAGCAGGGGCTTGGAATTGGGCCCCGGTGCTCACGGCTGCGTACTAATATGGGCTCTCGTAATTGGGCCACGCAAACACCACCAATATTCATGGTGTCCCCAACTCCAAGCGGTCAGAACGAATTGGGTTCATGGCAGCGGCCTTAGCCTATATTCAAACTCAGCTGAGCGGAAATGGCACAAAGGGAAATGTGACCAAAACTACAACTCCACATTTTTGAATGCACCATTTCCTGGTATTGAATTTTCATTTTAGGCTTGAGCACAGTAAGAATTGACTTGCCTTTGGGTGGATTATTAACAGTCTCCAACTATAAAATGCAGCACTTCTGACCAAAAGGTGTGCATTGAAATCCTTTTGGCCGCGCCATGCGTGCCAAAAAGGGATTTATGGAATCATAGAGCTATGATGGAATTAACGGCATAATAATTTCAGGCTTTCGTTCGCTAAGGTTTGTATGAAGCAGCCAGATTGACAATCAATAATACACACATAGATGTATTGTCAACACCAATAGATGTCGAATATTAGAGATGTGGGCCGGGACAAACTTATAAGGTGCATGTCCAACGCAATGCACTGATGTCCAGACTGCGAAAACGTCCTATATACAGGTAATTTATTGGTCCCCCAAAAGTGGGGTCGAATTAATGATGGCGTGGGGTTCGGGCGGGGCCCACTTAATTTAAAGACCCCGAAATTTTTGTTGAATTCTAGACGGTCTGTGGTGCGATCTGAGGCAGTTTCTGACCACTTTTACCATTTTTTTAAAGGAAAATATGCAGTGTACGCAGTGCCTGTCTTTATTGCAACGTCACTTTAAAAAAAGGGGGTTCTTTTTCGGGGGACATGGCCCCCGTTGCCCCCCCCCCGATCCGTCCTTGGTTTACCTTCCTCATGGTTTACAGTAGGCCTACCATTCAGGCTTTGTTTATATCGTGCCTTCTAGATTATCCTTCTAAAGTTCTTTGTGTGATCATTCTTTCATTTACCAGTCCTGTAACTACTGTAAGCCTATCTACAGTATTCAAGGTGGGCATTTAAGCGTTTTAGCCGTTAAAATAAGGAAGGCCTTCTTGACTTATTAAATTTAATTCAGACTTCACTCACCTCTGAGGCAGACTTGTCTTCGCGTGGGATTGTGTCAGGCCATCGCCATAGGCTTGTGAGAACCTAGCTTCAAATCTGATGACTGGAAGCCTCTCAGCAAATGGGGAGGCATGGGTTGTCCAACCAACGAACAAGGCTGTGAACTATTAAACCTTTCGCGGTAGAATCGAGTCAGCGCAGCTTGTGAAATATTTACATGATATACAAACGGACAAATAAAACTTAGTGTAGGCCTACACAAATTCCATAGGGTTGTCTAAGGGGCGTGGCTAACTCGTAAACGCCGATAGGTCAAATTATTATTTCCGAGTTCTCTCCTAGACCTGCAAAGACCATATCAACTTGCAATCTAGTGGCCTTGAGTTGTCCACCAGTGGAAACTAGTCCAAATCCGTGTAACCTCGTTCATTGATTTGCTACGCAGGGCGCTAATTGTTCATTCCGTGCATTGACAATAGACTGTGGACGTGCAAAATCGCTCGTAAAAGTATGCAATTTTTTTTGGCAAGGTCACTTATTGCGTCGGCCAGGGAACAGATTTGAGAAGTTATCACGTGCTCAGCCGAATATTCGAAGCCGATGGTTGTGGACTTGTGGTCACCAGAAAAGATGTGCGCGTTTAACTTTAATTTATAATTTCATACTCCATAAGCTAGCCAAATTGAAAGTAGTGTGCGAGAAAATCACACGTAAAGGCAAACCCCCATGCGCCGAAAACGTCAACGTCATCGAAGTCGTGTTGGACATTTTTACGGAAAATCTCAAAACTTCGACGAGTGGTCCCAAAAATGTTACCCTTGCCGTGCGTGTCATTTTCGCCTTGCTGTGTGTATTATGCGTGCATGTCGCGCATGAACGTTAAACAGTGTCTTGAGTATGGCGGAAGATTTCTGCTGTACGTTTCACCAGTCGTACCCGTACCCAAGGGCCGATCAAGAACCAAATTTTCAAGGGGGACCAAGAAAATTGAAGTAGGCCTTATTGGTTGTTATTAAAGGGGAAGGGAGTTATATAGCATATAGTATCGTGCGCTTTCGTGCGCTATTTCCACATTGTAATGTTTAAACAGTATAAAAGGTATTGTGTAGCTGATGATCATGACTTGCGAGGCCGCGCGCGCGGGAAATTGACAAGGTTTCAATTATTTTCTGGGGGAAAATCCGCTGTTTTCCCTCTCTTTTTTTGGGGGGGGGGGGGCAGGGGTTGAGCCCTGTTTGCCCGTGCTTGTACATAAATTAGCATTAACAGAGAAGTAACTCTTGCAAGTCCGAGTTCCGTTAGTCAAAATTGGACAAAAGGTTACTTCTGCCCAATTAGCCCAGGTTGCACGACGTCTTCATTGTGGAGGTACGGTAAGGGTGTCCACCTGGGCTAGTCCTGCCGTAGAAGAGGCTATAGTATACCCATGGCTGTTAGCGTTACTGTGTGCTGTCCTGTGCTGTTAACTATTGGGGAGGTAGGGTCCAGTACCCTGATCATGAGCCCCAAAGTGGGTGCGCTGTTGTCCAAAGCCTGATGCAGCTCTTTCAAATTTATTCTTTCCCACTTAAGTTCTCCGTAAACACACAATACACAACTACAATATTGTGTTTGTGGACAAACACAAGCTGTTTTGGCTGTCAGTGAAACAACTTGTCACCGTCACTACGTAGTGACCTTAACCCCCCCCCCCCCCCTCCTCCGGCAATGTGGAAAATGTGTGTTACGAGATACAAGCGATTTAAGTTGACGGTGATTTGAAACAGTGATCTTGATATCGTTGTAGCCTCAACATTCATATTTTGTTGCACTGTCTGAAAGCTGGGACCTTGAATGACACGTTAATGCATGATTTTTATTTAACAAGATAACTATTAATGAGTTATCAAACTAAGCCATAAGTAGGCCTATAGTACACTTTAATGAAAGCTCAAATATCAGATAACGCTGTGTTCGAGCATGACGCTATAAAAGCTCCATGGTTCGAGTTTTCACAAAGTGACACTAATTCGTGAAAACGCCAGAAGTGAGTCGCGCATATCACATGACATTTGTGTTACTTCGCGGAAACGCAAAACCCGTTTTTGACGCGTAGTGTGCAGGCAGTTTACACGCGTAAGAATGGCATAGTACATGTACACTTCGTGAAAACGCATTTCCAGTTTTGGCCCAATAAGTTACAAACGTTAATGAACGTTGATTAACATTTTGACAAACCTAATTAACTCTGTGTTTACATGTAGTATCTTCTTCAGGTGGTAGATTTTGTGTAATTAGTCACAAATTAGAAATAGAATTGAAATCGCAAAATGTCGATTGTTCGATGTTAGTGTCATTTCGTGGTGACGGTACGACGAACTGAAGTCAGTTAGATTATGATTGTTTAACACATGCATGCATAGGTACATGTACATGTCTTTTACGGATACAATAAACAGAACAAAGTATCATGAGCAGGCAAGGCTTCCACCCATCTTTTTTTTTAAACGTTCAAGTTTATGGCCCACAAAATGCTCTTATAGCAAAGAATTTCAGGGTACACAAATTGTGATTTGTAGTAAATTTTCGAACTATATCTTATACCGGTCTGCACCCATAAGCTGAAGCCGTGATTGCATCATAATTATTTTGCCCAAAAAAAGTCCACAAAACACCCCATTACATAAAGAAAAGGAATGTTTAGGAAGTACTTTGTTGTTTTTTTGCAGTGTTGAAACTTCCAGTTTGGAAACCGTCCACGTGTCATGTTGTAACATTAGGCCTAAAGAATTATCTTACTTCTAATAATGATACAAAAAGTTAAGCATTGATCGAATGTACTTGTATTTAGTATAAATAATATCACGGCAAACTTGTATCCGTGCGGGTTTTGTATTGATCTTTTGTAAATCTATCATGACCCTGTTTGAGCGTGCCGTTCTATTCTTTAAGCAAAAGATTCGTAATAATTCGTAAGTATCGTAGAGTACCCCAAATTTGCGCTTACAAATATTCGCGCAACCAACTTTCTTGGCTCGTATCTTGTTTCCACGCAACACCGTCCTCAATATGTTATTCACATATTCTGGTATATTAGTTTTAACTTTTTACTATTATTGTTTTTAAATAAAATCTATGTTGGGGATTCTACGTACACATCCTTACTCAACATTTTATGAAGCATATAATAATAATCGGCATTTAAGAACGCTCTTATTAGTAAACTAAATCACAGCGCTTACAGTATTATTATTGTTATTATTACCCTAATAGTAAAAATAAATAAGCGACCAGATAATAATTATGAGGATTTATTAGTCTGGGAGCTAGGTGGAGTTTCAATAGCAATTTGAGCACAAAAGGTTTGGTGGTATGTCGGGAAGTATAGTTCTGAAGTGGGTCAGTGGACCACGGTAAAAAGTCAAACATTAAGAGTTTAATTAACATGTCGCGCACAGGTGCGCTTGGATTAAAGTGTTGAGATTCACCCCATAATACCAAAAACGCTGCTCAAAAATGGAAAGAGTCGGATGAAAAAAAATAGGGTCATCATCCACAGACCGCTGCCCGGGGTCCGGGTTTCGAAACGGACCTCGTTGCATTTTCTATACACGCGCTCATTCAATTAGGGTTGATTGAAATGAATATCAGAGAATGGAGCGGTTCCTATTTTTTTTTATCCTATTATGAAACACACGCAATTAACAAGAGCTGTTTCGGGGAACTACGTTACCAAAACAGCAAATTCTGAGCGGACTACTTTTCGTAAGTTGAACTCCCAAAACAAACTGCGCGTAGGCTTGACCGTTAAACTTGAATAGCGCCCTCAATTGACATAGTAATCACGCAAGTCGATCGTCATTGCACGCTGTACAATTATTATGGTATCATTTACCATTCTTTCTAATCACAACAGCAAAGAACCCCTTTATCTTTCTTAATCCAAATATGACCACACGCAATAACAGGAGCTGTTTCGGCGAGCTACGTCGCCGAAACAACTAATTTTGCTCGAACTACTTTTAGTACTTTTCAACCCGAACCAAACCTGTGTAGGCTTGACCGTTAAACTTAAATAGTGCCCTCAATGTTATTGACTGAGAGTATCGCCACAAATAATCGCCATTGAACAATGTACTCGGTGATTAAAAAAAATTATAAAATAGAGTTCTTGCCAGTCGCAACAGTACCACGGAAATCGAACACGCCTTATCAATATCGGCCGTTACACTAGTGACAGCGCATTCCGTTACGTATTTTTTTTGCGCGTTCATTGTTACGCCGAATTGCCTATCCAACTTCACGCTGGATGGAGGAACCACCCCTCTCTCAAATTATTCTTCTATATATTGTTTCTTTTCTCGCAATTAACCATTCGTTTCACATAGCGCGACCGTTCAGTACCGGTACTGGCCTCGCACACATTGTATAAGGCCAAATCCACAACATAGCGGTTGTTTTTTAGGGTGGGCCAAACATTGGCCGAAAAAGTGGGTCCAAAAATGTTCCGCCCCCAATTCGATATGAAAAGCAAGGGGGTACTATAGGACTCTTTATGGCATCATTGCATGGTAGCTGAATTGTAATACTGTACGCAATGGCTGCCTTTTTTGCGACGTCACACTGAAACAAAATTGGTATGAACCTTGGCTCTGTCAATGAAGGTGCCACAGTGAAAAGGGACATACATACGCAACGGCGGATCCGGGTGGGGCCAACGGGGCCAATGCCCCCCCCCCCCCCCCCCCCCCCTCAAAAAAAGAAATTACAAATTACAAATTTTTTATTTTTTTTTACGCAGTGAGTAAAATTCCAGCAAGTTCAGTATGCATGTTCTCTACTGTATAAAACTTGAGTTTGTCAACTCGCTATTACAAAAAGCTACGAAAAACGGGGGAAATTTTGTTTCAAGAAATAAAAAGGTCATCATATCCACGTTTTGGTATATAGAAAGTCAGCAATCGTAAGCTCTTGCGGAAGATATTAACCTATGAAGATATGAAAACTACCATTTCAGATATATCAAGTTAAACATTCAGCAAAATAGATTTGTAAAACTATAGAAACTTCTTCAGGGATCGGTGGAGAGTACTAACTCGGTTCCCTAGTAGGGAGTTTTGAAGCAAAAGAAGCAGTAAATGGCGAATGGAGATGAACAACTTGCTGAGTAGAGTGATGTATATCGAAATTCCGAGAAACAAAATTAATGGATTGAAGAGTATAAGGTATTGGAAATAGACCGATACTTGCGGGGGGAAATACGGCGAATGTACCGCATAAACGAATACATCATTCAGCCAAAGTGCATGCTCATGAAACAGGTTCATTTTTACAAGACATTTAAATCGTTTGTTTATGA